GCGATTCAACCCTCCCATCTCGTTTCCTCCCCCTTGTGATTCCCTGCAATTATGCATTTTCCTCCCCCTCTTTCTTTATGTGTTCTTTTTACAAATTTTTTACAATTTTTTCAAAATCTTTTACAAATTTTTTTTTAAATTTTTTAGAAATCAAATTTTTTTTACATGTTTTTTACAGTTTTTTTTAAAGATTTGTTACAATTTTTTTTTTACATTTTGTTATAGATTTTTTTTACAGATTTGTTACAAATTTTTTTACAGATTTTTTTACAATTTTGTTACAATTTTTTTTACAAATTTTTTGTGAGGTTTGAATTTTGTTTAATTGTATGTTTGATAAAATTCAGATGTATTATTTTTAACAAATTAATCATACTTGTGTAAAAAAATTTGATTCTCCCGTTTTGAACCAAACACGAATAAAGGGAATTCTATTCCCTTTCCTATACTGAACCAAACAGAAGGAGTAATTTAAGGGTAATCATTCCCATCCCCTGATTCCCTTTCCTGTTTCCTTTCCCTTTCCCAGCATGAACCAAACGCCCCTAACTTTTTTTTTTTGTGGCAAAAACGGCCAAAATGATACCATGACTGGGGTTCAAAGTAAATATGTATAATAAGAATTTTTTTTTGTTGACACTCTGAAAAAATGTGGTGGTATAACTAGGATTAAAACTTTTTTAAAAATACAATTGATACTAATACCAAGTAATGTGAAAAAAACATTTGAATATTTTTAGATTATATTACATAGAGAACAAATGAAGAAGCACCCTATTTTGAACTTTTAATGTACTTTTACAAATGTAAATTTTATTTTAAAATCTAATTCTACTAATCAAACAAATTAAACTGATTATAACTTCAATAAAACATCATAAATTCTTATGTACGGATGAAATGAGTATTGTTTTTAGTATATACAAAGTAGTATGTATACGCACATACACACCCGAGTAATTTTGTAAATATATCTGAACTACTGGTTTGATGTCGTAGTCTCGGAATATAGTAGCCCCGGGGCGTTCGACACTCGTTGGACCTTTGTGTTGCTGGGTGACGACGATGATATTCTGACCCTCCTAGAGTCGACAAGATCCATTAGAAGGGATAATACAAAAAAAGGCATTATTGTTGATGGTGCCTGGACCTGAAGGATCAACTATCCACATGTTGGTGTAAACCACCATTTATCTTGTTTAGTTGATTAGTTACACAGTTTGTTAGTTTGTTAGGAAGATATTTTTGGTTGTTACTTGTTTTTCATTTTCTATATATAGGAGCTAATCATGTAATACAAAATTGAGTAAATTCCATAAAACATTCCCAATTATAGGTCGTTTTACATATTTAGTCCCTACATATCAAATATTACTAATTTAGTCCCCAATTATTATATTCATTTCCACGAATGGTCCTTTGTTAATATTCCGTTAAGAACGTGGATAAAATTGTACTTCCTCCGTCCTAAAACTTTCTTCCCAGAGCACTATTCCAACCTCACGGAAATTTATATTTATTTGTGTTTTTTCATGGCCTATATGATAAAATAAAATATTCTTATCACCACTTGTTTTGTTGAACTTTTGATGTAGTTTTTAAATATGTATGTTTTATTTTTTATTTCTATACCAATATTTAAATAAAATAGATTGAAAAAACTTGGGATTTTTCTTCGTTTTGCGCAACGGGAAGAAAGATATAGGACGAAGGGAGTATATTTATACTTCTCTTCTCAATTAAGCTTCCTCCATCTTCTCATACTCTTTCCCAAACTCGTCACTAAAACTAAATTTAAGCTCTTAAATCCAAAATTTAAATGATCATTCATCCAGTTAGATAAACAATTGAGAGAAGAGTGATAATTTTGATTTTTGGTTCAAAGCTAGAAACTCAGTGACGGGTTTGGGATAGGAGTGCAAGAGAAGAAGGAAGCTTAATTGAGGAGAGAAAGGAATGCGAATTTATAATTTTACCCACATTCTTAACGAAAATGTTAACAAAGGACCATTCGTGGAAATGAATATAATAATTGGAGACTAAATTAGTAATATTTGATATGTAGGGACTAAATATGTAAAACGACCTATAACTGGGGACCTTTTATGGAATTTACTCTACAAAATTTGAGCTAGTTAATACATGAAGCTCCTTATCTTCCATTTTCACGCTTCCCAATTTTCTCTCCTTATCTTCAATTTCAACTCGGTGGAGATTTCCAAGAAGCTGAATCGTCAATTACCTCAAGGCACTGACTCCTCCTCCAATGGCGTCTTCTACCTCCTTCCTCTGGTACGATCTCATCGACGGCTGAGAAGCTGCTTTCACGGTCTTCGCCCCGACCGATTCATCTCTCTTTGCGCTGGACATGGTGAATTCGGCGTTCGATTACGCCGCCATTCTCCGCTGCCACGTCATCCCTCAGCGTCTTTCTGTCCGCGGCCTCAATAGGCTCTGTTCTGAATCATCTCTCTGCACTCTAGCCGCCGATCATGATCTCCGCGTAGAGAGCCGTTGCTCTACACCGTCTGGTGACGTCATATCTGTCGACGGCGTAGTCGTCGTTGCGTTAGGACTGTTCTATGCCCGCAACATCGCGGCTCATGGCTTGAAAGGGATTCTCAACTGTAGATCTCGTCGAGCTACTCATGATGATGTTACTGGTGCGGCAGCCGGCAACGCCTTCTAGGAGTAAACTGCCGGCAGCTACTCAAACAGAATCTCATTCGGAATTCAATCTCACCATCACCAAGTCCAATGCCCCTGTCTCACATCGCTTCAAAAAAAAAAGGCCGTCCGTGTCCACTAATTTTCTGTTGATAATTCATCAATAGATGTCAATCCGAGTGGAGAAAGCTTCAATTTGACGCCATCTCCGTCTATTGATCTCTCCAAATCAGGTTTCATCACTGATTGAATAGAATTCACATATTCATCATTTTGACTTTGCCATCTCTGTTTCATCTTCATCATAACTGATCCTCATTCATCTTCTGTTCATTATATTAGTTCTCAGATTGAGTATCCAATTTCATTCTCATTCTCATGAGTCATGATTGAAATGTTTCGTTCAATCATTTTCCTTCACTTCTGAAATTCAGAAGTTTCATCATTAATCAATTTCACTCAATCGGTTTGATTGAGTTTCACTCGTATCGTTTTGATCGAGTTTCACTCGTATCGTTTTGATCGAGTTTCACTTTCATCATCATCCGGTTTTCGGTTTATTTCATCAATTGCTTTTGTCAATTGATTTCATTTCATCCTTTGATGTTTTCGTGTGTATTCATCAATTGATTTGTCATCTCATCTTCATCATCCGTTGTTGTATGATTCAAGTTGCTGGTTGGATGTCAATAAAAGAGATATTCCAAAGACCATCAAATTCTTCACTCAAGGGACAGAACTGTGTTGCAACGTACCCCTGCAGCTGCAGTTGATAGGCTACCATCAGTTGCCTATTCTGATAACCCATCCACCAGTTTTGCTGCAAAGTTTGTTCATACATCCCTAAACAAAAACCGTTGTTCAATTAATCGTGTTGTGTGGACACCTACTGGGAGATGTCTTATTACTGGATCTCAAAGCGGTGAATTTACTCTCTGGAATGGGCAGTCTTTTAACTTTGAAATGATTCTTCAGGCTCATGATCAAGCGATCAGATTGCTTCACTCAAGCTGCCCTCTGTGAAGGTTTCCCAAAGGCTTTTTGGATTTCCCAAAGGCACTACTGCACTAGGTTGCATCCTCATTGATGTAGTATCAAGTGGTTTTGTCACAATGGCAGTACAAGCCCCAGCAGCAATGATCAAATTGGTAGAACACGAGCAAATTCCTGGATGTACTTGAAAAGGAAGAGAAACATCCTAACATCACAATAGGAGTCATTGTTCAAGCTTCTATTTGGTGGAAAGAAGCAATTATCCTATGAAACTTGTTGAAGAATCAATGAAGAGTGATGCTGCAGAGAGTTCAAAGTTCAAACCAAAGCAAAGATCCTAAACCAGAAGCTTACTGTTTTGATCAATGGGTTTTTCATCTACATACACATTGAAGTCAACACAAATTTTATTCCATTGCAAGTTGAAGTTGTTCCCACCTTCAACTTGAGGGGGGGTGTTGGTGTAAACCACCATTTATCTTGTTTAGTTGATTAGTTACACAGTTTATTAGTTTGTTAGGAAGATATTTTTGGTTGTTACTTGTTTTTCATTTTCTATATATAGGAGCTAATCATGTAATACAAAATTTGAGCTAGTTAATACAATTTGATCCTTTCATTTCCAACACGACAATATCATTTCAACCATAGGCGACTTTAACCAAGTACAGTTGGAAAATATTCGCCTGAAAAACTTAAAAAGTAAAGCAGCCGATGAGGTATTTTGGTTGGAGCGTGAACGTAATGAGCTAAAAGAGCGTTGATCATTTGCCACCTTTGGATCACGTAGTTGTTCTAAAAATAAACAATAAAACTAGATATAAGTAGCATGGAAGTGCGGCCGACAACTTCGGCGGTGATTTTGATTTTTTTAATCTAGTAGTTGTATTTTTTAATCAAGCACTTGTATATTTTTTCCATCATCTATTACTCTTGTTTTTTTCGCATTATGACAATGTAATTTTTAATTTTAAAGTTAATGATTTAATGTTTTTATTTTTAGTAATTTTGATTTTAATACTCCGTAAAAAAAATTGAGCTTGATGGGTATGAATTATGGTCCACACTCCTAAGTCCGGGTTGGTCGGTGTCGATACTTTTTCCCCAAATTGGGCCTGGGCTGACCTAATTTCAAAGAATTCATGCGGGCCTGGGCTGACCTAATAAGAGGCCCAAATAAAATGGCCGAAAACCTCTTGAGCAGCCGCAAACGGAAGAACGGAACCAGGGAAGGGAACCGCGGAAGGCCAAGTAGAAGGAAGAAGAAGAGTAGCCTCATCTCGACTGCCTCCGGCTGCCCGCCTCACCACTAAGCCGTCCAGGACTTCTGCATTGACTTCGATCTTCAGGTATGAACATATAATTTATTATAATTAATTGATTTTAATGATCAAATTCCTAATTTTATTTATCTTTTAGATTTTTAAATGTTCCATCTATGTTTTATTCTTCTACACTTGAATAGTTTATAGTTTAATGAGGTTTAATTTTTAATTAGAATGATTAATGAATTATAATTTGATAAAAAAATAAGGTTTTTAAAATTTTTCCTCTTTTAAAAGTTTTTATTGCTAATTGTTTCAAAATCTAAAGTAGGTATTGCTAAAAGTTTTATGAAATTTAATTTTTATTTAGAATGATTATGAAAGTTTTTTTAAATTTTACTTTTATAAGATATGATAGTCAATAGAGGCCGATTTTTTGTTTTCGCACTGGGCCTGTTTTTTCTTCGGGCCGGAAATTGGTGCGAATCTCAGCGCCATAGCATATGTTTATTTGAGTTCATTTCATGTTTTTTTATAGAAATTGTGTAACATTTATGATAAAATTATTACTCCCTCCGTCCCACTTGGATACTGAGACAGACAAGATTTCACATTGTTTAATGAGGAAAAAAGTGACACTTCATGTGACCAAAAAGTAAAAAAAAAAGAATAGTGAATTTGAAGTTATAGTATGGGTATAAAGTAGAATGAAAAAAGAGGGATGATTTAAATTTGGGGATGAGATATTGGTTTGATGTGAAATAAGTAAACGAAAAAAAGAAATGTAAAGAATGAAATGGTTCAAACAAAAAAAGAAAGTGTACAGAATCAAGTGGGATGGATGGAGTATCATTTATATGATTTAGCATCCTTTGTCCGTACTGTTGTGCTCTAGGAGGGGTAAGGTTTAGTTTCCTATTCAACAACCTCCCCACTTGAGTGTAATTTTTTGCATTCAGCACCCTCCCCCATACCATAGTTTTCAGTGTGTTTTACTTGGTTTTGTTGTTGTTGTTTTATGTTTGTGTTTTACTGTTTTTAGTGGAGATGATAGTGCTTCTTTATTATAATTTTTTGTTAATTTATTCACTTATGTCATTTATGTGCATTATCGTGTTTTAATAGATAATTGTTTTATTTTCAATTGTGTGTGTGTGTGTCTGGGTGTGTCTGTGAGAATAAGATGGTTTAACCTCTTCTTTTGCTGGGTGAGGATAAACTTCAAAAAACATGAATATTGTTAGTCGGGGAGATACACTTTATCAATGAATTTGCTATGGATGCTGTTTCTTACTTGAGATCCTAACCTTTAACTTTATCAGTTTTAGTATGCACAAAAAGCTGCACTATTGTCCATAGGGATAGATATAGCATAGATGTAAAAGAAGTTATTAGTGCTCAATTTGATTACATTGAATTTGTTAGCATATGCTTTACTATGGTTACTGTTACTTCAGTCACCTTAACCTATGTTATTGTGTTTAGGTTTTCACCCCAATAATACAAACTTAGAGATGAGGGGTCTGCAGATGTCTTTCAACAAAACACAGAAGATAAGGATGGAGAGAGCAATGGAGCTGTTGGAGTCACTATCATCAAAAACCAACTCCAATGCCTATGTAACGGTTTCTGATATCATTCCTATGGATGGTGAAGATGGTGTTCTCAAGTATGTATATATACTTCGTGCTTTAAAATTCCCAATTGGCTTTCAGGCGAAACGTGCTTATGTTTAGATATGTAACATTTGTATGATCTGTCTGTACATGTGCAATCATAATGTTCATATTGGCTTTGTATATGAATTTTTTTTTAATATATGTCGTAAAATTCATTGTTGGGTTAAGGTTTTGTTATTGTTCTCATTGTTTGCTGTAAAATATATTTTTGTATGAAGGGGACATGGGACGCTTGAGATGGATTCCCAAATTGGTGCAGTTGTATGTGGAGTTCTCGAACGAGTTAACAAACTTGTTTGTGTGAGAACTTTGAGAGCCAGGTTTGTGATCTTAATAAGATGATTACCAATTTTGATCTGCAATGTTTAGTATGAAAAGAATTTGTTGTGTGATGATGATGATTGCAACTGTAGGTACAAGCCAGAAAATGGTGACATCATCGTGGGGCGAGTGGTTGAGGTTATTAGGACTTTCTCTTTTATGCATTTTCAATGTTTTTTATTAAGATCTACCTACACATGTTTGGTCTATAGACTCTATACATTGTGTTTTTGTGGCTCCAAAATCACATTTTAGATCTTTATTTTGCAGGCAAACAAATGCACCCTATGCATTACATTCTAAATTTAATGTACTCACTCAATTTCTGTATGTAAGGTTGCTCAAAAGCGATGGAGGTTGGATATAAACTCTAGCCAAGATGCATTGCTGATGCTTTCCTCTATGAATTTGCCAGATGGCATTCAGGTATTTGTCTCCTATTACTTATGTTTTTAGCAAAAACCAAACATCAAGCATTCTTCTTTACCCTTATAAACAAAAAACTCAGTACCTGTTGATTCAAAAACACTGAAATGCTGGCCTCCTTTTGTTTCAGAGACGGCGAACTGCAGTTGATGAGCTAAACATGAGAAGTTTCTTCGAGGAGAATGATGTTGTTTGTGTAAGGATTCCCCACTTCTTTTTGAGGAGCTCTAAGATGGTTTCTAAGTGCATCCATTGCCAATAGAGTTAAAAGAGTTTTGACAACATTTTAACTTTGGATAAATAGTGAACTACATCAAGTGGCATGTTAAGCATCCCTTAAATTCTTACTTGCTGTGTAGTTTTGGGTTATAAACCCAACATTGCATCAAAGATCTGATGGAANCCCCCCCCCCCCCCCCCAACTTAGGTTTTTAGGGTCTAAGACTGCTTCAAGGAAATTCAAATATTAAATCGATGTGTTTGGCCCATTCTGGAGTTTTCTCAAATATTTTTACATAAATGATTTTTGGGAAATGAACTTAAAATCAAATGCTCTAAATGGGATCATTTTGAAAAGTTGCTTCCGAGTGCACAAGCTCTTCAATTTCATATTTAATCTTCCCAAAAAACTTATTATACGATGGTCTAAAGTCTAAACACTCGTGCTAATAGTACTTTATAAATGCAACTTTACACTGTTTGGCCAAACGGTGCTCAAGGAATTTGATCTCTCGTTTTTCATTCTCATTATAAAGTTGGAGGGATGTGCAGGCTGAAGTTCGTGGGTTCCAGCGTGATGGCAGTCTGCACCTGCAAGCTAGAAGCGAGAAGTATGGAAAGGTTTGCTTGTTTGTTTATTTTGGAATTTTTCTTACCCCCTCGGCGGCCCCTCCCCTCCCACCCTCATGTTGTTACACTTTTTTTGTTAGCACTGTACACTTACCATCGTGAGTTCAACTACACTAAATTGGCACAACATGGTTAAATTTCATTTATTAAAGGTCAATATCGAGACATAAAAAGTAGAGATAGTGAAAAATCTTGAATCTGCAGCAGAACCTGAGATATTTCAAAAGTTAATTATTGCTCTGTATGTTACATTATTTGAATAAGTTGTCTGTTGAAGTGCCCATCAAGAAAAAAATACAAATAGTTCTACAATAAGAGAAAAAAATCAGGCATGAATCTCTAAAAGACAATTAGCTTCAACAATTTTGAAAATAATTCATTCTTTGTATATTATTCAAGTTAAATTATAGTATCGAGATGCTTTATTGACACCATTTTAAAATGCTTTGCAGCTTGAAAGGGGTCAGCTGCTCAAAGTTTCTCCCTATCTAGTGAAGAAGAGGAAACAGCATTTCCATCACCTAGACCAGTATGGAATCGACCTGATACTTGGCTGCAATGGGTTCATTTGGGTTGGGGAACATGTTGATGTAAAAGCTGACACACCAAAAGATCAGTTACTTAGCAACACCAAAGAAGAAGAAGAAGATGATGAAGAGGAAAGGTATGCGACTCCTCGGCATATCAGGGTTTACATATGCATGATAGCGAATGCCATTAGAGTGTTGTCGGATTTAGGGTTTACAATAACTGTGGAAGTGCTATTGGAGACAGTCGTCTTGAGCGAATCTTTGAAGATAGATGTGGCTGATATGCTGGGTGCAGAGTTCTATGTATTGGTTGCTGAGAAGGAAGCCGAAAGACGCAGCAAGACAAAAAGATGATTTTTCTTTCCATTCTCTTTGTTCTTGACCAGGGTTTTATGTGATTCTTCATTCATGTTGCTGGTGTCAAACTATGGAATTTCAGTGTCAATATTATGACTTTTTTTTGTGTGATCAACTTCAACTCAAGTGAATCACTCATTTGTTATGGTACCGAGAGAGGGGTGTCATCTTATTACACAATGAAATGAGAAGAATACTTTGAGATTAATAATATGATACTCCCTCCCTCCTTGAAGATTGGTACACTTTGATTTTTTTAATCAAACTGTGGCACCTTTTAACGATGAATTATATAAAATGTATATTTAGTTATATTGTAAATTTAGTGAAATTGGGTTCATTTTAAACATAGTTTTGAATTATCAAAGTTTTATACGGAGTAATATTTAATTACTTTAGACTCTACTACGTAATTAATTTGTGGTGAAAGGGTGTCACTGTTTGACCAAAAAAATTAAACTGTGATAATGTTTTAGACATGGAGGGAGTATGTGAGAAAATACCAAAAAGGTTGAAATTTCGACTACAATTTGATGTGAAAAGTAAGAAACAGAGACCTTGTTTTGGAAAGAATGTTTTCAATTAGCATTAGTTTTTTGGATAAAATATTAACAGTATAGATTAATTTAGAAAATGCCAACGCTAAAAGCTATGGTCACATAGTCTTTTCAAAACCTAACGCTAATCTCTAATTACGACGCAAAATGGGGCCATAGAAGGAAGCATAGAGACGGAGGAAGGCGATGATGATGGCAAATAGATGTTGAATCTCCCTCCACTCTCTTCTTTGTTGCTAGGATGGTGTAGCCATGTTTGCATTTGATGTGATTGATCCCAAATAGTTTATTGCTTGGACTTCTAGATTTACATTCTTTACCAATTGGCAACTTGCATTTTTAGTAAAGTTGGAATTCCTTAGATTTGGTCAGGTCATGGTCACATTTTACCATGAGAGAGTACAATCGCTGCATTGACTATCTAAGAATAATAAGCAGCCCAAGACTCCTGTCATGCAAATCATAACTTTTAATAGGAAATATGCCAGCAAATATAATTAACTATCAGTATCAAAATCACATGCTTTTAAAGAGCTTTATAAATAGAGGAAATGTGAGGTTTTACTTTTAAATGATTCGACACAAAAAAAAAATCTGTTCTTTTTTCTTTCTAAAGCGGGGTTTAAAAGCCCTTTTGGCTGTTGAGTTTCAACTTTCCACCATTAAGGAATAAGATGCCCTTACCACAAGTATGGAACCCCTCTAGAAACATGAATAGACTGCCAAAAACAGATTGAGATGGGCTAATTAATACAGAGCAGAAAATATTTACAGGAAAGTTTATGCCCATTTTGACTTCTCAGCTCACTGTTGAGGCCACAAAAGTCCATATCCCAGCAAGAAAATTATTGTGAGGGAAAAAAACAAAGAATGTAAAGGGGAGTGCTTTTCTTTTCTCCTCTGCTCATGTTCTTGGTGTTACTTCTGTGGGACCCGCAAAAGACTCGATTTCTATAGCAACATCGGGTTCATCAGTACCTCTGTCGTTACTTCTTGCGTCGTCCTGTGAGCGCTCGGCAGTTGCAGGTAGCAGAAACTGTCTGGACTGTCCCATGGAGATCCGTGAGCTGTCGAAGGATTGGACGGGACCCACCATCTGTTTTCTTTCAAAAGATTCCTGTACAGAAAAGCGGCAAACCGGGCAAGTTGACTGTTTCTTGAGCCATGTATCGATGCAAGAGAGGTGAAACGTATGGCCACAATCGGGCATAACTCTCAAATCTTCTTTCTCTTGATACTCTGCAAGGCATATGATACACCTGTGCAAAGCAAACCACACTAAAAGATTGGATTCGAATCGTCTTTGTTAGTCTAACACATAGCCCCATTACCACCCATATGTCTCTACTTAATATATTGACTCTCATTATAACATATAGATTCCAAATTTGATACCATATTGACATTCAGTGTGAAAAGTAATGGAATCAACCTGTAACAGACATTTCTACTCTGGATTTATTCCATTATATTGCATTATGACTTGCCAAAGGTTACCTTAGTGGTTGGTGATAATAGCAGTTAATAAAAGAAAGAATGGGTATCACACATCAAACATAGAATGAGAAATTTGTAAGCCACTTACTGTGTGTCTTCAGAAGGGCTAAAAGCGTCCGGGTGGAACTTGAGGGAGGGAATTGCAGCAACCACACCAGGGTCGAGACCACTATTCCGATGCTCTGGCTGTAATAAGAACAAACATTTGTGTATGCAAATATTATGTCATGCCTCAAGAATACCAACATATAAAAAAATTAACATTTTAAAAAATGGACGGTCGATCTTAGTTATGCGGAGTATAATAAATGCCCGGACCTTTATAAAAAATGCAACATGAGACACCCAGATATTACTAATTTATCTTCCCATTATCATGATTTGTTTGGTCATTTGCTCATTACTCCCCTTCATATTTCTTCACAAAAACGTGTACTTCCACATGCTTTTTGATCTCTAATACAACATGTTTGTTGGACATAAATACTCCCTCAATTTGGTTTTTACTGTCCACTTTCATATATTCTTCAAATTCAAGGAATGAGGCTAAAATTATAAAAATATATCATTGAAATTAGTTTGACATTCATTGATGGAAACAATACTAATATGATCTTTAGAGGGCGTATTTTTGATCATTCATATAATAGTTAGGTTGCTAACTATGGTAAGTAGACAATGAATTCCGGACACCTCAAAAACAAAAAGGGGACAACAGGATCTTAGAGATCATCAGCATTGACAATCAAGTGAGTAAGCACAAACCAGTTTAAGGAAGAAGGAATACACTATATAGAGATTGAAGGAAAAAGCATGGAAGAGAAGTTTACCAGTTGATCAAGATCAAGCCTTGATTCAATCTCAAACATTTGCCTCCGGCGAATCCTCCCACAAATCAACCTAGTACACACAAACACTATGAAAGTTGCACTCATCCCAAACCCAATGATTGTGGTAATCAGATTCACCCCTGAGCCCAACATCCTATTCCTGCTCCTCCTCAGATTTGATTTCCCAGACTTCACAAATCCCAAATCTCCGACAGAAAAAATGGTAAAGACCCTAAACCCAGTCACACTTTTCTCTCGATTCAAACAGGCAGTGTGCAGAAACAAAAAACAAAAAACAAAACAAGCTATAATAAACAGTGGAACATCAACTCCATGTGCAGGAAATTGGAAATGGGAAATGGCTGCCCAGTGGAGCAAGACATTATAAGAAAATGAAAACCACTCAGTGAGTAATAATAGTACAGAAAAATCCGACGGATAAAGGCGAGAATAGTTACTGTTACAGCACACAACAAGAAAGCCCAGATTGAGATTCGGGATTAAAATCCAATCTTTTTTCAATTTCTTCTTCAAGAAATGCGTTGAACTAATGGGACGAGAACCAAATCAAATGTGATCTCTTTGGGTGGAATCGAAGCTAAGATGGAAAAGACAGAGTGGAGGGCTTATCAATGGAATGGATGCGAGAAGAAGCACTGGAAAAATGAAAGAAGACTTGTTGCATTTAATTCCCCTCTCTCGCTTTGCTTGCTGCTTTGGACTCGCATTTCCGTGGGGTCAATCCTCTTATGGGACCCATTTGGTAATTAACTGAATCTGTGGAATTTATCACATTTAAGTTCATTATTATCTTGGTGAATCTCCTCAATTATTAAGGAGTATCTAAAAAATTTAATCCTATTGACTATTAGAACAAAGGGAAAGAAACTAGGAGGGTGTTTGTTTCTTTGTATAGATACTTATTGACTTATATTATTGATAATCATTTTTAATTTATAAGATGGTTATTAGTTAAATATTTTTTTTCGTGCAAGTAAAAAGACTTAAGTAATAAATAATTGAGAATACTAATAAATCATGGTGATATTTTGTAAATAATCTAGTCAAAACAAAGAAATGAAAATAATTTATTAAAAAATAAGTAGTTAAGATCTACTTATAAAAAATAATGGGACAAAGTATGACAATATGGTTTTCCAAATCATTTAGTTATGTATTATAAATGACTAGAAACCTGAACTGGTCTGACCCATACGCACCCTAAACCATAGTGTTACTATTTTTAAAAATAAAAAATTATTTTGAAACATTTTGATAAAGGGCATAATTGGCATGAATATTAGATATTACCGTTAAAGATTAGAATTGGTGTTCTGAAAAAAGGTATTTGATTGTAGCTTTTAGCGTTAGCGTTTTCAGAATTAATCTACATTATTAAAATTTTATCTAAAATACTAACATTAATAAAAAATGTTGTTCCCAAACAAGGCCAAAGAAAATGTGAAATTAATTTCAAGATGGATGAAATTATTATACTATCCAAATATAGAATCAACTTTTTTCACTTATGTCTAAAGTAATTTTCACAAAAGCTAAATGTAAAAATATCTTATATCTCCTTCAGATTCTCTAAAACAGTGTTCTATATGTAAAATGGTGGTAGAGAAAAACAGAAATTGACATGTCAAACAGAGTAAATCATTGTCAAATACCTTCTAAATTATAAACTTAATTAAAGAGATACGCTTACCAAAATAGAATTGAATTAAATTCAAAACGGATATGGAAGAATTGATACATATTTATAAAACTTAAACTTCTTACCTTAAGCATGAATAATCTCTAAATGACAAATAATGGTTTAAAATTGATAGACACATGCAGACATGTAACTAACACCTTGCTTTCCTAATGTTGTAATGGGGATGTAGACAGACAGACCTCGTTAGGCCATAGATACATCATCCATCAACATGGAAGAACATAAAACAAAAATATATATTACCTTCTTCCAATGGTATTTGTTGAGTTTTAATCTGAATAATGCGTAATTATAATTAGTATAGCTTGGTCATTAATTATACACGATTTATATTAGACATTGATATTAAAATAATTATTTACATTCATTTCATAAAATATTTTTGAAATATTATTTTATTTAATTAATCTAAGATGTAATGTTTTTATAATTATAAGTGAAAGGCCGCTTTTGTCGATTGCAAAAAATTAAAAGTGTAAATATTCTGTGACGGAAGGGGTATATGATTGATTTCTCCCATCATTGATGTGTTGTTAGATGCCCGTAGACTGTAGTCTTCAGTGTCATTTGAAAAAAAGACTAAGGCTCTATTCTTTTTGGTTGGAAAAACAGATCAGAGCTGGATGTTGGAAAAACTTCAGAAAATTACTCACGGGTGATGCGAGTTTTGTTGAAATAATTCTAAGGTCCCTCTATTTTCAAGAAGACAGCAGAGGTCCTTACATTTTGTTGTAATGACTAGAAGGGGACATTTCATCCAATATTTATCTATAGACGTTAATAAATTTATTTTTTTCCTATTCTTTTCTAAATGTTTTAAGGTAATAAATCTTAGTTCGCTCCTTTTTTTATTTCTTTGTTTTTCTTTCATTTTGTTACTATTTTTTAAATTGTTATTTTAGAATTTCTTCTATAAAATCGTATAAAAATTCAAAATTATTTGTATTATATTTAAAAAATGAAATAAAAAATTTTAAAAAAAGAAAAAACAAGGTAATGGCAAAATAAGAAAAAACGGTATTAGAAAAATAGGAAAAAAAATACATTTATTAACACTTACGGATGATGTATTGGATTAAATGTCCCCTCCCAGTCATTTCAACAAAATATAAGGACCTCGGTTGTCTTTTTGAAAATAGAGGGACCTGAAAGTTATTTCGACAAAACTCGCGTCACCCGCGAGTAATTTTCTGGAAAAACATTGAAGGGGTTGGAAGATATTGGAAGGAGTTGGACGAAACTAGAAGAATTGGAAAAAACAGGAAGGGCTGGGAAGAAACTGGAAGGACTACTGGAAGGATTTGGAAGAAACTGAAATAAGTTGGAAAAACTGAAAGGAATTAGAAGATACTGAAAAATCATTTTATTTATAAGTTTCATATTTTATTTAAAAAATGGATGCCCTACTTTTAAAATTCTAATCTTTTTTTATGCCAAAAAATAAGAAGACAAATGTAAAAATATATTTAATAAGCTTAGTTGAAAGAAAAATTAGTCTTAAATAAAATAATGATGTCTCAGTAAAACAAAGTAATCTTATATCACCATTTTATATATCAAGATTTTATAAAAATGACTCGAGACAAACGATGTTAATTTTGTATTAGAAATTACTGATTTAACATGATTTATATTATTTTATCTAATTATCAAAAATTTTGCAATTACTAATGGAGTATGATTATAGGGTACATATATTAAGAATTCTAATATCAAAATAGCTGAGTTCTGAGTAAAAATTCAAAACAAGTCATAGAATAAAAAAGAATAAATAAGTTATCGGCTGCAAGTGGTTATATAGTTATATACAAGATCAAGTCAAAGTCTGATGGAGCTCGTGTGCTAGCCTAGCCAAAGGCTACAACCAGCAAGAGGGTATATACTATGATGAGACATTGAGTCCAGTTATCAAGATGGCCACGGAAGATATAAAAGACGTTGCCCTGAGGTCTCCTATTGGCATATACTCCTACAAGGTGATGCCTTTTGGTCTAAAGAATGCTTATCAGCAAGAAATAACCAACATCTTCAAATCACAAGGTTAAGTGCTATGTAGATGACCTCTCTCCTAACGAGGAGAGTTTCCGGAACTTAGTATTAAATTTTTTAGAGAAGAAACCTAAAATGCCAAACTAGAGAAGAGAACACGAGAAGACTCTAGTTAGGGGTCAATGCTTACAAGAGTATGAGTTGTATTTATTTCCATTTTTTTAATTGCAAACATTTTACTATTATAAAATAAAGAGGGAAAATGATGCCAATCTATTCAAACTATATATAATTGGCATCTTGCTTGCAAAAGCTGATTATTTTTATTTCCAAAAACTTCCCATTTTTTTTATTGGAAAAAGTTTTCTATTCTAAAATAATGAGAAAAATGGGCACATTAAAAGGCACCAATTCATTCATGTAAAAAAATTTCAGTATTTTATTTTTTGTATGTCTCAAGAATATTTTAACATTTTTATACTTTTTTTAATATTTTTTTATTTTCTAAAGTTCATATCAAAAAAATTTATGCAATAGAGGTAGTTTTTAATATACATCCAACATATGCACATTTAAGAGATGAACACTATTAACTTTGCACAATTATTTTTTTTCATATCCAATTGATTGGTATGAGTTGGAAGAAATTGAAACGAGTTTGAAAATGTGGAAGGAGTTAGAAAAAATTTGAAGATTAGAAAAAATTTGAACGAGTTAGAAAATATTAGAAGTTAAGGGGCTATTTGGCAACTTCTGAATTGGTAAGTGCTGAACCAGTAAGAGGTCTGAACCATTAAGTGCTGAACCAGTAAGAGGTCTGAACTATTAAGAGCTAGTATATTGTTTAACTATTCAGAGGCAAATGTCTGATCAATTCAGATAAGAGGCCTTAACCACTCAGACTCTGTACAATACTTAACCATTCAGAGGTAAATATCTGAGCCATTCAGACATCTGAACCATTAAGAGACTGAAACAAACAGTCTGAACCATTAAGTGCTGAACCATTCAGACATCTGAACTATTAAGAAGCTGAAACAAACAGCCCCTAAGAGTTAACGTTCAAACAAACATAGGCTCTAAACTAGAAGTATAGCATGAAGAAATTATCAAAATAAGAATTTTATGTTTTTTATCTTAAAATAAAAGTACAATGCTAACAATATTAATATATAATATCAAAAAATATATACAAACTCTTGTCTCATTTTCGTTGGGTATCCAGTTTGACGTCCATGCGAGGCTTCTCGTTTGGGCCAATAGCGTTCAAGATTTCTTTATGGGCCTTGACAATCGGGGCCCTAATTTATCCGGTGATTTCCGCCTCCCGGCGCACACTGCGAAGCTCACGTCTCCGGTCACTAGACGACCGTGGAATCAGTCTCGGACAGCAGCAGGAGATCATTCATCTGGGCTGTGTCATGGAAGCGGAGGAGGATCAGTCCGTCTTGATGGTCGACGAGATCTGCGAGAACGGCGGCGCAGTTACCGAGGACGGCGCCAATAGGCAGCGTCTGATCATCAGCGGCGACCAGATTGACGTCGAGGCCTACGCTTCCCTGTACAGCGGTCGCACGAAGATCATGCGCTTGCTTTTCGTCGCTGACCGGTGCAACAACGCCACGATGCAATTGGATGCTCTGAGGATGGCGTACGAGGAGATTAAGAAGGGCGAGAACACGCAGCTGTTCAGAGAAGTTGTCCAGAGGATTAATGGGCGTTTGGGTCCGAATTACGGGATGGATACCGCGTGGGCATATACTGTAGACCACCGGGCCGAGCAAAGAAAGGATAGGCTGGAGAACGAGCTTAATGCGTATAGGGTATGGTTCAATTTCTCACATTTTTGCATATAACTTCACAGTTCATAGTTGCCTATAACTTCTTATGTTTTGTTGCGTGGCTTGAATTTGTATTGTATTGCACTGGAAATAAGAGTATCTAAGTATCTGGATGATAGTGCTTTGCCACACTTATGGTATCCAGTAGTGAGAGTATTCTAGCAGCTTTGCATTGGTTGAACGGCTATTCAACTTGAGCAAGCAGGTTTAGGTTTTGTATGATAAATTAATATGGCATAGCCTTCACCTTCAGGAAGAAGGTAAAGATGTGCTCGCTGCATTCTTGGTAGTTTCTAAAACCCTACTCAACTGCACAGTTTGAATTAACTGATGCTCCAGAGTCAAACCATTTTGAGATTTCTGGGGGTGATATGAATAACCAATCCTCAAGGCTTTGCTTTTGCATCTCATTGGGGTTTGGAGGATGTGAATAACCTCTATTCTCACTTCAATGGAGTTTCTACTGATTTTATGGTATTTTCTTATTAAAAAATGTCAGATGGGTTTCTTTCTTTCCTTTTTGGAACTCAAAATGGCAAAGTTAAGAAAAGAACAATAACTTTCTGAAATTATCTTTCTCTTTCTCCTCTTTACAGACCAATCTGATCAAAGAGAGCATTAGGATGGGATACAACGATTTAGGAGATTTCTATTATGCTCATGGGCAACTTGGGGATGCTTTGAAGAATTATGTCCGGACGCGCGATTACTGCACAACATCAAAACATATAATTCACATGTGTTTGAATGCTATTCTCGTCAGCATTGAGATGGGTCAATTTTCCCATGTTTTGAGCTATGTCACAAAAGCTGAGCAAGGTCATGATTCATCATTAGATGATATTACAGCTGCTAAACTTTGTTGTGCTGCCGGTTTGGCTTACTTAGAGGCTAAAAAGTATAAGCTTGCTGCTCGTAAGGTATGTCTGCTATGCCTATTTCTACTTCATTGTTTATTCTCATGTCAATCTTGGTCAGTGCTTCTATACATTATGCATATGCTATTTCTCTTAGTTTTGCCCGCATTGTGTTTATCCACTCATAAATTTGTCTTAACAATGTTAGTGTTGGTGTGTTGCCCTCTTGTACCTCCTGGCTAGACTAATTCTATGACGGGGACGGGGGTAAAGAGTGGAATTCGCTCTTGTGGAACTGATTGGTGAAGGTTACAACTAGACATAAAAATCTCAGTTCCCATGTGTCTTAGTAATGTAGACATAAAAATCTCAGTTCCCATGTGTCTTAGTAATGTTCTCCTCTCCCATAGAGACAGAGGGATTACAGAGCTACTGAAAAGAGATCATTTGAGAGGGTTATTTAATTCTTTAGTTATTGTGTTGACGGTCTGACCAATTAACATTCCATTGAATCCTCTGCAGTTTCTGGATGTTGGCCACGATTTACTGAGTAATTACAATGAAGTAATTGCACCTCAAGATGTTGCAACATACGGTGCCCTTTGTGCACTCGCAAGTTTCGATCGATCAGAGTTGAAGGCAAAATAACTTCTGTTCTTTAGGATTTTTTTTACTTTACAAAAAGCATTTCCAATTTTACCTCAATGCACACATACTTTTGTTTTGTAGAGCAAAGTCATAGACAATGTGAACTTCAGGAATTTTCTAGAGTTGGTGCCTGAGATTCGAGAACTTATCCAGGATTTCTACACAAGGTAACAAATACGAATTGATGTTAATATACTTATCCAGGATATATGAATTGGTGGCTTTATATGAGCTGGATATTATGCTTTCTTAATCAGATTTTTTTAATTACTACATATTTTTCATGTGCAGCCGATATGCTTCTTGTCTTGGGTATCTAGAAAACCTGAAAACAAACCTATTGCTTGATATCCATTTGCATGACCACGTGGAGACACTGTACAATAAAATCCGTAACAAAGCTCTCATCCAGTACACTCATCCCTTTGTCTCTGTTGATCTGCACATGATGGCCAATGCTTTTAAGACCACTGTGGCTGGGTTGGAGAAGGAACTTGAAGCTTTGATTACCCACAACGAAATACAGGTGCTAATGAACACACATACATTGGTAGTAGTAAAGAAAATCAAATTTCATTGAATTTTAGTAGAAGTAGAAGTATATACTCCTTGTTCTTTCAATGCAGGCTCGGATTGATTCCCACAACAAGATTCTATATGCAAGGCATGCTGATCTGAGAAATGCAACCTTCCAGAGGGTGCTGCAGACTGGTAAGGAATTCGATCGAGATATGAAAGCTTTGCTTTTGAGAGCGAGCCTTTTGAAGCACGAGCACAACAACAAATTACCAAGAAAACATACCGGCAGCTTGTGAGTTGTGGGATCCCTACTAGGATTGTAGCTGCTGAGGCTTCATGTTTGCTCAAGTTAATGTTGTATGTTTGTACGTTTGTTCGTCTTTGTTGGATTGTTTTTGCTGTTGCGCCTTTTTGAATTTTTCTTAATGATTATTACACCTATTAATTACTAGTAGTACGGGGTACAACACAGTAGCGTACGGAGCTCCTGTTTTTTTTTGTTTTATCTTTCTTCAATCTCCTGCAAATCTTCATTGAAAAATGTTCCTAGTCATGGATTTAAGGTCCATATGATATACTCCGTATTCTTTTTGGGAAAATGCTAGTCACAAACATATAGTTCACAAACTTCACAAACTTTCCTTTTGTGAATTTTAAAATAAAATATCTTTTAATATTTTAGTATATCTTATTTCTTGGAAAGTGTGAAAAAGACAAGTTTGTGAATTTTGTGAATTCTTTGTGACTCTAGCATTACTCTTCTTTTTGAGACAGCCAGAAGTCCTTTAACCTCAAGGTGAAACAACATCAACCTAGTAGAATATCACGGAGATACGTACGTGTACAGAGACCTTACCCCTCCCATACTCGAATGTAGGGCCTCTCTTTCCAAGATACCCCCAACTCAAGTAACTTAGAGAACACAAACTCGAGGTGAAAGTCCAAACTAAATCTAACCAATTATGATCTTAAAATGCATATGTGAAATATTGTCTTCTCATGCTTTTAGTGGGAACCTCTCTGCTTTATAATATTGAATTGTTTATGTGAAAGGTTCATGTTTTTTAAATGTATTATATGTCCATATAAGAATTAAGACATTGCATCTCTTCTTAAAACCCAACTTATGACTACTCCAGTAAAAAAGTTTCATAAGCCAAGGTTTTAGAGTAATTACTAGCCGTGATCAAAACAAAATAGTTCATATTTAACCACCTATATTTTGTATTATCTATAAAATTTACACAATAAAGCAATACGCCTAGGATATAACAATAATAATCTCTTTATTTTTACAAAAGTAAAACTACGTTCATTTTGATTCCATATTCCAATGGAGTTGGAATTATAATATGTTTGTAGATGACAGGTGTAATACAATGTTGATTAAATCAAAATGCATGGATTCACAAACTCGCGACACGAAAATTGAACCAGACATCACCTTTTGATTCCATATTCTAATAAAATTAAAATTATAATGATTTTGTAGGTGGTGGATGTAACTCAATATTGACTAAATCAAAACTGGTTGATCCACTAACTCGTAGCACCAACCATGAAAAAATGTTTGAGCATCAATCATCTAATGAACCATGAAAAGTCTTATTTATATTTTTAGTTAAGCTATGAATATACTAAGAGTAAATTACATCTATAGGACAAAAACATACTACCTCCCTCCCAGAGTATTTTTCCACTTTCATTTTTACACATCATCCAATACACTTCTTTAATTCATTTTATCTTGTAATTTGTATATTAAAAAATTATAGAAATTATATATTAATAATTTATATGTTAAGACAAATCAAACAAGATCACACATGACTATATTTAAGCTTACACATTGAGAGAATTTGATGAGTCAAAGTGCTTAGATGAACAGTTCCAAAAGTCAAAACTGGACGAATACTTCGGGACGGAGGGAGTAGTAGTTTTCCCCATATAGGACTAATCCTATTTAGTAGAGGTTTGGGTATGTGAATGGACTAGATTAGCCTCAGCTTCCACCGCACAATTCGATCAGCACAAAAAACCATGCCATGTGCGAACAAAAAAATAGCCGTTTTCCAAGCTTTTTTTAATGAATATCTCCTTTACATTTAATACTCATTAAATGATCCTACTTTTTTAGAAATGACGTCAGTTTCTTTGAGCATTTTTTCCTACATACGAGTACTTTTTTTACATACTTTAATTTCTTTAGGTTGGAATTTTTATACAAATAAAGTATTATAAATTTTAAACATAGTTAATGACCTGGTACAAAAAAAACATAGTTATACTCTACCTTTAATATTATTCGTCATTATAAATTTATAATAGAATTTTATAAATTCTTTCAATCTTATTTAGGTAAATTATCTTTATTCTTAGTGAAATTTGCATTGAATAAAACTAAAACATAAGTCATTTTCCAATGTAAGACTTAAACTTTTTTATTTCTTAATAATGACTACTGAGAAGAATAATGTCCAAGTGATGTTAGACATTTAGTTGAATAATGACTAATAGATAATGACCAATTGTCCTACATTAGGAAATAAAAATATATGGTCCTCTATTGAGAAAGTCATTATCTTTTAGTCTTATTTAGGTAAATTACCTTTGCATTGAATAGGACTAAAATATAAGTCATTTTCCAATGTAAGACTTAAACTTTTTTATTCTCTAAATATAAGACTTAATAATGACTAGTGAGAAGAATAATGTCCAAGTGATGCTGGATATTTAATTGAAGAATGACTAATAGATAATGACCAATGGTCCTACATTGGAAAATAAAAACATATGGTCCTCTATTGAGAAAGTCATTATGTTTTAGTCCTATTTAAGTAAATTACCCTTTTTCTTATGTATATCTTTTGGAATTTTTAGTCCATTTGATAACTACTATGGAGTATTTATTTACAGCATAGAAAAATTTAAGAATATATATATTTTTTTCAAAAAAATCTTTAAAAATTTATAATAAATCTTAAGAAACCTTATATCTTTAGTATAACTGATTTGATATCATAGACTTCTATTAAGTTATTTTGGTTTAATTTCTGTTATATTTTAACTTAAGATTTCTTATTTAATGTCCTTTCACCTAGACATTATACAACTGATATATTTTTAATTACTAGCATTCTAACCCGTGCGACGTACGGGATCGAACGAAATTTTTGTCGATTCTAAAACTTTTTCAGTGTAATATTTTTTTAAATAAAAAAATATATTTCTTACATGATTTTTAATACTATAGACGAAAATTCTAAAGTCGAATAAATAATATTTGAAAAATTGAATGTGTACTCAACAAAGTGTTTTTTAATATCAAATTTTGTAATATATTTTAGGATATACAACAGTTTTGGTATGGTTGCTAGGATTTCTATTGTCATCTAGAATCAATATTTGTAATCTTGTCTTTGTCTTCAGTCTTGAAACAACTTAAAGCTGACCATGAATAAAGAATGAATTGATTAAATATAATCCAACAAATTACAGTGTTGACCTTGACTTTTGTTTTGCAAAACATAAAACTATTGAGAATTGTTCTCTCTAGAACTTGAGTTGTAGTATGGTACCAAATTCATCCGAGGTATGTAAACTTTTTCTCTGACTCTATTTCTCAAAACCATTAAATCATCGATAAGATTCTTTCGCAACTATTCAAAGTATTTTGATACCCCTTTTTAAAAACTATATTGTGGTTTGACATCTTTGAACATTTGAATTTACTCGAAAACTCAACTGTTATCCAATCGCCATAAACACTAACATCTAAATCTGCCTGGTATGAGTAATCAAAACTCTTCATTTCTAGGAATGAGAAGTATGAAAAAATGATTTACCATTTCTACAACCTCAAGCATGGGTTCCAGTAGTGCCATATTCCCGAAAAGAAAATAACTTTTTAGATAAAAAATATTAGTAATCCTTTGATTCTGAATGAAAAATTGTAAATAAATTTGGCAAATTTTATTTATTTTTTCTTTTACCTTTGAATAAGTAATCATTCAAGCCCGTGAATTTTTGTTTTATAAAATATTAATTTAGAGATTTAAATGTACAGGAGTATTTTATATTTTTACGTCAATGTTTAAACCAATAAAAGAAAAGCTAACATCATTTAATATTATTTGGAGACAAAGAGAGTATCTTTTTTAACGAAAGAAATCTTATTTATTCATTGAAAGTTTTATTATAAATGAAACGGAAAAGAATGTAAAATTAAAAAGAATACCTATATTCCATATTTAAATTTATTCGATGATGTTGAAATCATAAAGAATGTTTATGTAAACATAACATGGTATTATGACACATATTTTGATTAACTATATTCTATATTTTAATTAAGTATCATTTTCTAATAGATAATTAAAAATAATATATTTTTAAATTTAGATCATAAATGGTGTAAAACGCAATAAGTTTTCTAGTCATTATATCAAATCATAAAATTAATATATTTAAACTATTAAATTATATGTAGTATTTTTTCTAGTTGAAGATTTCTTTAAACCATTCATATAGTATTTTTTTAATTTTATATCATTATTTAAAAAAATAGATTCAAAATTAATTTTTTAAGCATATCCTAAACAAATACTCGTATAAGTTTTTTAAGGGTGAAAAGAGTTACATGTTTATTAATTGAAAGCTTTGTTATACATAAAGAGAGAAAAAATATTGAATTAGAAAAGAATATTATTATAAAACAAAAATATAAATTTCATATTTTAATCTATTCGAAAAATGTCATCCTAACATTTTTAATTCATATTTTCTTGTTTGAAAATTAAGTGAAACAAATCACATAATAAATACGTATATCAACTTTCTATATGAGTGTCATTTTTATATATAAAAGATTTATTAAAATTTAAATAATTTTATTTTGAATAAAAATTAAAATTTTAATTTAATATCATGTCAAGTATTATTTGTAGTATATTAAATTGATAATCACACGTGGAATTATTTTTTGAGTGAATGTTAAATATTTATTTAAGTATATTATATATTTACCTAACTTGTAATTCATTGCCTTTCATAAATTTCTAAAAAATTATTTATTTGGTTTTTTTGATTGTCTTACATAAATAAATGATAATTTGTCAAAAAAAATAGTGCCACATAGATAACGCCACATATCAATTTCTTAAAGAGTCAATTGTCATTTTTTAAAGAGGCACATGTCGAATTCTTAGAGTAAGGAATCTCAAATTGATATATAGAGGAAAAGGATTTTCTTGTCCGAAATTAGGTGAAAGAATTCACATAATAATCAAATTTCTAAAGTTATGAGTCTCATGTTTATACATAAAAGATTTATCAAAATTTTAATAATATGAATTTGAAAACAAATTAAAATTTTAATTTAATTCATGTCAAATATTATTTGTAGTATATTGAATTGTCAATCCCACGTTGAAATCTTTCTGAGTGAATGTTAAATATTTATTTAAGTATATTAAATGTTTACTTAACTTGTAATTCATTGCCTTTCATAAATTTCTAACAAATTATTTTTTTTTGGTTTTTTGATTGCCTTACACAAATAGATGAGAATTTGTCAAAAAATAATGCCACATAGATATCGCCACATGTTAATATTTTAAAGAGTTAGTTGTCATTTTTTAAAGAGCCACATGTCAAATTTTTTTAGTAAGGAGTCTCAAAAATATATATAAAGCATAAATACACATATCAACTTTTTATGTGAGTCTCATTTTTATATATAAAAGATTTATTAAAATTTTAAATTTGATCGGTAATGCAAATACTTGTATTCCTACCTGTGCGTGATATATAATTTACTCTTAGTGGTCACAATCATAATAAGAGACCCAAATAGAAATTGTGAAAAATAAGGCTGACCATTTCACCCTAAAATATATTCTAATTGATCGGTAATGCAAATACTAATACTTATATATATATATCCAAATAGGAGAAATCAGCCTATAATTGATTGCGAATTACTGTAATTTCGTTCATCTCCATTTTCTGATTTCGTATATAATTGATTGCGAATCTCCAGAATGCAAATCGCAGAAATCGCGCTGATGAACATGTGCGTTTTTCTTTCAGGGTTAAAGGTGTGAGTTTTTCTCAAATCAGCCATCCGGGTCATTTAGATCCGATTTGGTAAGAAAGCCCCATAAGTACATTCATGACATTGATGACATGGCAGATGAGCTGTTAAAAATTTTATCCACTTAGCATGACAAATGTTGACATTCTGAAAGTTTAACTCCCAAATATTATATATAAAGGATTCTCTACTAGGAATGTATTTACTATTAGTTACTTAAGAATTGATTATTAATTCTAGTGTACTAAAATACCCTTTCTATGATTTTATATTTTATGTCCCATCACGTGGACATTAAATTGCCACGGTCTCTCCAAAATGAATATATGGACATTAAAGAAATATACTCCCTCCGTCCCGGAGTATTCGTCCATTTTTTTACTTTTGGAACTGTTCACCTAAGTACTTTGACTCATCAAATTCTCTCAATTTGTTAAGCTTAAATATAGTCATGTGTGATTTTGTTTAATTTGTCTTAACATATACTCCGTAGATTATTAATATATAATTTCTATAATTTTTTAATATACAAATTACAAGATAAAATGGATTAAAGAAGTGTATTGGATGGTGTATAAAAATGAAAGTGGACAAATACTCTGGGACGGAGGTAGTACTTTGGAGAACATTATATTAAGGAAAGAGAGTTTGGAAGGGGAAATGAAGTAAACACGAGTAACGTGCAGAAGTTACAAAATGTAAATGGAAGGGGAAATGGAGTAATCATAAAATAGGAGAAGTTATTGATAATTATCTTCTAAATATGATAATAGAATCCTAATTAAAATAAGAAGCTTTGGAATACTCACGTGTTGGTTGATGCCTGAGGGTAAATATGGATACACGCATGAAATTTACTCCTAAATCAAGGAAAAAACAATAATAGTCCTATTTTGGGAAAACACATATCTTTTAGTCCTAATTGGAACAAATTTTACATATACTAAAATGGTAAATTTGTCAAATTTTTTCAATTCGGCCCGCATGGGTAGCTCAGTTGGTCAAGAGCGTGAAATCTTAGACCAATGAACAGGGATCGAGTCTCACAAGCGACAGTGTGGAAGCTATCCATAATTCCCATAAAGGGTGATGAGGCTCTTTGTGCGCGATGGGCACGGGTCTAGCGTGCTTGACCGACTGAGTCACCATGATTTACTTCCTCCACCATTCTTGTCGGGCAAAGAAGTGGGGCACCTGGGGTGGGCGATTCCACCTTTTGGACCAATGAATATACTAAAATGGTGTAACTCATTTGTATATGAGACTATGAGACATATCCTTCTCTTTTTTAAGAACAAAATACAAAGCTGTTTTCTCCTTCTCCAGCAACAAGTGATATAGTCCCTAGATGCCTAGATCTTGTCTTCTCACTCTGCATAAACGCTCAGTATTTCATTGAGAAAAAAAAAGAAACAATAAATAGCTTTATGAACGGAGCTTTTCACCAGATCTTGAGTAGAAGCGCAGTGTGATTGGAATGGTTAATCCGAGCTCTCTCGCATCCAAGCGAAATGCGCGGCCGTTCCGGCTGCTGAACGTGGTCTCGGCAGCCTTCTTCGCCGCCGTCTTCGTTTTCTTCTTCTTCGTCTTTACCCGTATCGGCGATTCCTCCGGGCGAAAACCTAATGCCCGCTCCTCCGTCGATCCTCGGCAGCGCAGCCGCCTCGTGGAGCTCATAGAGGCGGGGAGGCTGTCCTCCCCTCTCCCGGCCTGCCCTGCCGCTGATGTCGACCACATGCCATGCGAAGACCCGCGAATCAACAGCCAGCTCAGTAGGGAGATGAATTACTATAGGGAGAGGCATTGCCCTTTGCCGGAGCAAACGCCGCTCTGCTTGATTCCACCCCCTCAAGGTTACCGCGTTCCCGTCCGGTGGCCGGAAAGTTTGCATAAAGTAAAGATTGTTATTCTCATTTCATGTAATTTTTTCCCTCTTTTTGTCCATCTTCCATTCAAATGAATATGTAATTCATCAATTTGATTTCAAACTCACTATTTACTTCCTCTTTTTAAATTACAGCATCTTATTAAATGCTCATAAAGGCATAAGTTTGGGTGCTTTAGCAAGATGTGGTAGATACATTGCACAGTGTTACTCAAATTTGAAAGTTTACTGATTCTTACGGTCCGTTTGGTACACAGAATTGATGGAATTGGAATTGAATTGGGAGTTGAAATTCTATAGAATTGATTTAGATGGAATTGAGTCTCCAATCTCAATTCATTTTTGACACTACCAATTCCAAAGCCACATATTTGTGTAGTACCAAACAACATGATTGGAATTGTTGTCTCCAATTCCAATTCCGCAGTTTGAATTCCGTGTATCAAACGGAGCCTTAAAGAATTCCAACTCAAGAGTGCCATTAGGCCTGCACCGAGCTTAGTTTTAGGTCTTTTTTATGTGAAAAGGGAGACTTTTAAGGTATTTTTCGAAGAAGTTTGTGAAAAGATATTGCTGTATTCGTTGTTGCAGATATGGCATGAAAATATGCCTTACAACAAAATAGCTGACAGGAAAGGGCACCAAGGATGGATGAAAAAAGAGGGTCCATACTTTATCTTTCCTGGTGGTGGCACTATGTTCCCAGATGGAGCTGTGCAGTACATTGATAAACTCAAGCGATATATTCCTATAGCTGGTGGTGTTTTGAGGACTGCTCTTGATATGGGATGTGGGGTAGGGAATTCAATGGTTTTCTTGAACTCATCAAAATTTACCCTACAAATGTTGCAATGCTTTTTTTTCCGACTTTAGGTTGCCAGCTTTGGCGGTTACCTGCTTACTGAAGACATATTGACCCTTTCTTTTGCTCCAAGAGATTCACATAAAGCACAAATACAATTTGCATTGGAACGAGGAGTACCTGCATTTGTTGTCATGCTTGGGACTCAAAGACTCCCCTTTCCTGCCTTTGCATTCGATTTGGTGCATTGTTCTAGATGCTTGATTCCTTTTACGGCATACAGTAAGTTTCCTGTTTCACTGGTGGCTGTGCATATTGTTTTACTGCAACCATTTCACTAACATGTTTCTGATTGTGACAAAAGATTTTTTCCCCTTTCAGACGCATCATACTTCCTTGAAGTTGACCGATTACTACGTCCGGGAGGCTACTTTGTCATATCTGGCCCTCCTGTGCAGTGGCCTAAAGAAGATAAGCAGTGGGCACAGCTCCAAGGTGTTGCTAGATCAATGTGTTATGAACAGGTTGTTGTGGAAGGAAACACTGCCATCTGGAAAAAGCCCAAAGGGGATGCATGTTTTCCAAACCAAAATGATTTTGGGATCAAATTGTGTGAATCTGATGACCCAAGTGTTGCCTGGTAAGTCCTTTCCAAAACTATTACTCCGTATGTTTTATTTCTTTTATCCAGCTATGATAAAATCCCCCACATTTTTCGAAGATATTTGTTGGTTAAACTAAATTTATCATTTTTATGTGTTTCACTGTTGAGTCTTACTTGACAAAAAAAACATGAAAAATTAGCCTCGCTTGATCAGTTAGGACAAAAAAAAAGTTTTAAAACATGACTATTATGATTAATAATATGTGTTTCTACATCTGAAACAAAACGGCAGGTATTTCAAGCTGAAACCATGTGTCAGCAGGACATCTTCTGTGAAAGGACAATATGGTGTTGGCACAATACCGAGATGGCCTGAGAGGCTGGTTAAAGCTTCTTCAAGAGCCACTGTATTAGAAAACGGTGTGGATGTTTTTGACGCTGACACTAGAAGATGGGAAATGACAGTAGCATATTACAAGAAATCACTGAACTTGAAATTGGGAACTCCATCCGTGCGAAATGTGATGGACATGAATGCATTTTTGGGTGGCTTTGCTGCCGCATTAGTGTATGATCCTGTTTGGGTTATGAATGTGGTTCCTGCTCTCTCTCGTCCCTTAACTCTTGATGTCATTTATGATAGAGGCCTCATTGGAGTTTACCATGATTGGTAAGCTTTTCTTGAACTTTTGCTCCTGATTTCCTACAAAATAAACTGGTATTATACCCTGTGAAGATTGAAGAGTATCAAACTCCACATATATAAGTGCATAATCATCATCATCATCATCACCTGTGGGTAGTATTTATTTAACTTTAGGGACATTTTTTTTAGGTGCGAGCCCTTCTCAACTTACCCTCGGACTTATGATCTAATTCATGTGGCTGCTATTGATTCCCTCATAAAGGATCACAATTCTGGGAAGAAAAGGTATGCCCAGAATCCTTCTTAAGTTGCTTTTTCTGTGAGACTTCTTGGAACGTTGCATTTCGAATAATTGAATCCTTGTTAAGTTGTTATGATCTGATTCTTATACCATTGTTGTAGGTGTAACCTAGTTGATCTGATGGTGGAAATGGATAGAATGCTACGACCAGAAGGGACGGTCGTAATCCGGGACTCGCCCGAAGTGATAAATAGAACCCAACACATTGCTCGCGCTCTAAGGTGGACAGTAAGTATTCACGAGAAGGAGGGGCCCGCGGCGTCTCCTGGGGTGGAGAAAATCCTGGTAGCAACCAAGAAACTTTCCAGTTGATGATCATCTGACTTAATAATTCACTGATTCGGAGTTTATTCTTTCTTTTTCTTGTACTTTGTGACATTAACTGGTGCGTTTTTTTGAGGGAGTTATAGTGCGGGAATGTACATGTATTATTTGTCACAATTCATGTTTGAACACGCACAAGAATGTTGCTATTGTTATGATTCTTAAATCATATTTAGTTTATTCTTTGCTTTTTTTTTGTGCTATGTGCTTTTTGTATTTTATGTTGCTTCTTTATTGTATATCATTTTGTACCAAAATCCTTATTAATGAAAGTGTTATTTTGATATGAATTTTATCCCAGAGTACATTTTAATCTTATTTAAACAAATAGAGTAGTATTTTTTTTATTTATTTTTTGACGGGAAAAGTATGTGTAAAGTTTGAATGCAAAGTATAAACTCTAAGAAGTGTAAATATGTTGTTTTATTTTACACTAATAACTCAATTACTCAACTGTTTCAAATTTGATTTTAATTTCTCATTTACGAAATAAAACTCTGTATTTTTAAAATTGATTTATTTAAAAATTGGTATAAGAATAATTAAAAAAATTATATTTTAAAAAATTACGTCAAAAGTTCTACAAAAAAAGGTGACAAAAACATTTTATTTTATCAAATAATCGATGAAAAATAAACGAACAAACAAAAATTATCAAGAGGTATGTCCCCAAACAATTACTCCTTCTGTCCCAAACTATTTTACATTTATATTAAAAAATTGTATAAAAATTTAAAAATAAATATAAATATTCAAAAAACACAAAAAATATTCTACGAAACCAGAATTGGGGTATTTTATACTCCCTCCGTCCCATTTTAAATTGCCTGTTTATCTTTTTTTTCCGTCCCAAAATAAGTTGCCTGTTAGTTGTTTGAGTAAACTTTTAAAAATAAAATACCTAAATTACCCCTAAAATAAGTCACTCTTTTTTCACTTTATCTTTTCATTCATCATCACACCTTCTAAAAGGTAATGGCAATTTCGGAAAATCAACTCTATTTTTTATTTTCCTTAAATATGACCAAAAATCAAAACAGACAATTTAAATTGGGACGGGGAGTACAATTTTTAGAAAGTTCAAGAACAAATAACCCAAAAAAAATTATTACCGTTTGTCTGTGACCCGAAACTGCCGGAAATAACTCCCAATCCCATGCAGGTTCCCGGGGGGCAATTGCCCACCGCGCAATCGCTGCCCAGCAATTCGACGGCGCACAATTCACCCGAGATCTCGACCACAAAGTCGGGGCAAAATGGAACCTTTTTGCCATTCATCGACCGGTAAACCACCCAACATCTTCGCCACAGTTTTCTGGTTTTTTTCTTCAATTCCGGCGAGATAAAGAAACAGAGGAACTATTCCTTTGTCCGGAGGAACAATTCCTGTCTTCTTTTTTTCGCCTGTCTCTCCCGCAGAACGCACCAGCGAGAGGGGGAGAGAAGAATTGCCCTTTAATTCTCTCTCTCTCTCTCTCCCGAGATTTAAACAAAGTGCGTATAAAACAATGAATGTGATGCGTCGTTTCAGAAGTATTGCTTCCGGCCTCTCGTCCGTCTCAGATCCAGTAATTTCCCGCGCTTGCTTGCCGCCTATTGTGATTTGATCAATTTCAAAATACAATTATTTCATCTATTTCGTGTTTTCCTTCTCATTGTCTCATTTAGATGTCAATGAATGTTATTTATTACCGAGCATTAATGAACAAAATTGAAATGCTTTTAGGGTCCGTTTGGTACACGGAATTGATGGAATTGGAATTGAATTGGAATTATGAAATTCAATTCCATAGAATTGAATTCACCAATTCCTATTCATTTTTCGTACTATCAATTCCAAATTCACATGATTTTTGTGCTACCAAACATGAGAATTGGAATTGAAGTCCTCAATTCCAATTCCATAGTTTGAATTTCGTGTACCAAAAGAGGCCTTAGGGTTCGTTTGGTATACGGAATTGATGGAATTGGAATCAAAATTCCATAGGATTGAATTCACCAATTCTAATTTATTTTTTGCACTATCAATTTCAAATCCACATAATTTTTGTGCTACCAAACACCATGATTGGAATTGAAGTCCTCAATTCCAATTCCACAATTTGAATTCCGTGTACCAAACGGGGCCTTAAGAAATAAGAACAATAATGTGGTTGTTTTTGTGGAATTGTGGGTGGTAAGCCTTAAGCTACTTCTCTTAGCTAATCTAATCTAAGACCCATCATGGTTATCTTTAATCTCCCTCCAATTAATACTTTAGTTATATCCTTCCTCATTTTTGAATCTTACACAAATATGGGCACTCAGACAAATAGATTGAATGATTTTGGAATGTTTCCTTTATGTTTTCAATACTGAGCCTAGGAATTGTAGAAGATTAATCTGTTTGAATGGGTCATATATGTAATTACTCTGTTTTTGAATTGGCCAGGGAGGGGATTTAATCATAAGGAGGGTGAAAGATGAACAAGAAGTTGATCCAGCGGCTGCAGGTGAACCTGCATTAGAAGAAGAATGCAGTAGTACTGCTTCAAACAAGGATGCAGCTTCTACATCTGGGGAAACTAAAACATCACATGTTGCTAGACATGACAAATCCCGATATGCCAGTGCGCTTGATGATCAAGATGACAACATAAGGGTGACGTTAAATTCACTTTATCTTTTAATGCGCCGAAAATGTCTTTGTCAAGGAACCAATTCAACCAAAAGCTCAAGCTTGTGGTTGTGGCCCAGGAAATGTTTCTTATATTCTAACACCTTTGCTTTAAAAGATCCGTTTAGTATAGAAATTGACTCTAATAGTTCAGAAAAAAGAACAAAAATAGAATGCTTATTTTAAAATTACAAGAGATCGGTGCAAGCGGTTAAATGAGAAAGGACTTATGATAAAAACCCTTATGTTTCTATATGATTAAGCACCAAGGTTCAAGTGACATTGAACCTTCCCCATGATTAAGTTATCGCTAACATTCCCTTAAATTACAATGCCAATTTTTAGTGGTAATTTCACTAATTTGTATACTGTACACAGGAAATGGAGCCTCATGCCATTAGTGGTAACGGAACTGAAGCAGGTCAGATAATAGTAATTAATGTGGGTGGCCGCGATGGACAACCCGAACAGGTGTCTGTTTCTTCTTGCATGCTCTATTTTATTTTTGGGATGTTTTTTTCTTAGGGTAATATTAGTTGTATAATGCTAATCCTTGAGATCATATTTGATGCAGAAATTGTCGTACATGACAGAGCGTGTGGTAGGTTCTGGTTCTTTTGGGGTTGTTTTTCAGGTAAAACACAACTATTATGAACTATTTATCACCTAAAATCAGTTCTGTCTTGCCGCATATGTTGGCACTAATTTTATTGCCTAGAAACACTTTTTTATTCTTCTCTTGTCCTCTTAGGCAAAGAACCTTGAAACTGGAGAAAGTGTTGCTATAAAGAAGGTTCTACAGGACAAGCGATACAAGAATAGGGAACTCCAGATTATTCGTTTATTTGATCATTCTAATGTTGTCCAAATGAAGCATTGCTTCTATTCAACAACTGACAGGAATGAAGTTTACCTTAATCTTGTAATGGAGTATGTTTCTGAAACTGTCTACAAAGTGTCTAGGCACTATAGCAGAATGAACCACCACATGCCCATTATATATGCGCAACTCTATGTATACCAGGTGAACTCTTTGTTCCTATTTATGTAGATCATCAAGTTTCTGGCTGTGAGCATCAGTTGTTCTTAGCTGCCTTTATTTTACAGATTTGTCGAGGTTTGAATTATATGCACAACGTGATCGGTGTATGCCACCGAGATATCAAACCTCAAAATTTATTGGTGAGTTCTTCATTTCCTTTTTTTCCCTTATGAGTGTGAGTCATCTCATCACATCGGACGAATGTAAAAATACAAATCAACAATAAGATTTATGAACAACGGGTTTGTAAAGAAACTGAGCTCTTAGATGGCTGTAGTATATGCTGTCAATCTTGGATTACCCATGTTTTATGAACAACGGGGTTGTTTTTCTTTGTGCGTATGTTGGTTTCAGGTCAATCCTCACACACATCAGCTAAAGATTTGTGATTTTGGGAGTGCAAAGATGTTGGTATGTAATATTTGTGGAGAAGGCTCATTTTTTGGGGGTTAATTATATTTACCTGCAAATGAAAGTAACATTTTGTGCACTTGCCACACTGCAGGTTCCTGGTGAGCCAAACATATCATACATTTGTTCTCGGTACTATAGGGCTCCGGAGTTGATATTCGGAGCCACTGAGTATACCGTTGCAATTGACATGTGGTCTGTTGGTTGTGTCATGGCTGAACTACTTCTCGGACAGGTTTCCTCATTTTTAGCTTTTGTTATTTTTAATGTTTAAATTGTCGAGTTCTTTTTATAGTATGGTCCGACACACTAAATGTTGTTCCATCACACATGCAGCCTATATTTCCTGGTGAAAGTAGTGTCGACCTGCTTGTAGAAATCATTAAGGTTCGCTCTCGACATATGTTTTTTTTCCTTCTCTTGAACATTTATACGATTCGAATGAATTGCGAATTCTACTCTTACTGATAGTCTTTTATGTACATACATGCATCAGGTTCTAGGGACACCAAGTAGGGAGGAGATCAAATGTATGAATCCGAACTACAGGGAGTTTAAGTTCCCACAAGTCAAGGCTCATCCGTGGCACAAGGTTTATTTTCATGCGTTTCTGAAGATTTACACTGTGTTTGGTTCAAAGAATTCTGAAGCGAAAAGGAAAAGAAAATTGTAAAGAAAAACAGTTTTTCCAAGTGTCATTCACATGCACCTCAACTACATCTGATTGGCATCTTGTATTTCTTAGGTGTTTCATAAAAGAATGCCTCCAGAGGCAGTGGATCTAGTCTCACAGCTGCTCCAGTACTCGCCAACAATGCGTTGTAACGCTGTGAGTAAAACTACTCCATATTTATCAATTTCCTACCTCGGATCTCTCGTAGTTTTCATGGTAACAAAGTGCTTAATAGACTTATTGGGAGGCTAAGCTTTTCTGAGTTTCTTTGGTTTGTGTTTTAAGTTGGAGGCTCTTGCACATCCGTTCTTTGATGCTCTAAGGGAGCCAAATGCATGCTTGCCTAATGGAAAACCTTTGCCTCCTCTCTTCAACTTCACTCCCCAAGGTGATTGCTTTTCTTCTCAGTTACTACTCCCTCTGTCCCATCAAAAATTTCCTCAATGGAACCGACACGATTATTAAGAAAGACAAATAGAAGATATACCAAGCACATAAAGTTTTCTACAAATAGAAAGTGGAACCTTTTTGTGGAACTGGAGGTCTGTACTTATATGTTGCTTATAAGCCAGAAAAAATAAGTAGGTCTTGCCTACTTGTTTTTAATGAATATTCCAAAATGATTTATCTATCATTTAATCCATTTTATTTTTACGAAAGAATTTAGCTTATAAGCAGCTTATGAGTTAAAAATTACTTATCAGCAATAAGCTAATAAGCACCTGCACAGAGAAACATCCTCTTAGACAACGACGAAGACCCTTTTGATAGGGGAAGAGAGGCTCGTGCATTTGTATGTATGTTCTCTCATGTTTCATGCGCTTCTACGGATGGATGCTCCAATGCGTACTACTGGAGTATGGAGATGTGTGTAGTTATAGATATATACATATATACGTTGGTTGATATAGGATTTTTTTCTTCTTCCTCTGTACTCTTTGCTTGGCTTCACTTTCAACTGTCTCTCTTTGGGACTCAATTTTGATTGAAATGAATTGTAGGGTGGTTTATTGCTCAATGAAAAATGTAATAGTCATAAACAAAAAGGCAACAAAGTTTACAATTTTGTTATTTGTGAATCCATAAATGTTAACTTTGTTAATTTTGTGATTCCAATATTTTCCAAAGTTTATATCCAGATACATGTTATGTACTATGTATTGTGATTTTATTTCTTTTTTAGGTCGTTTTTGATTGGTAGCAACCTTTGTTGCTTTTTTGTAGGATGTTAGCAAAAATAAATAGTTAACAAATGGGTTGCTACCAATTAAAAAACGTGTTTTCTTACCAACATGTTTGAGCCTTGGCAAAATAGGTTTGGTAGTAGTTCAGATCTAAATCTTGGTGACCAATTTAATCCGAATCTTGGTCTTATCGATATGTTTCATGGAATTAAATTTGATCCGAATCTTGGTGTTATCGATATGTTAGAAGACATTAGAAAGAATCCATGAATGGTAATTTTGTTAATCTTGTAACTCCAATATTTTTCCAAATTTATATTCAGGTACATATTATGTACTCTGTAGTATAATTTTATTTCTTTTTTAGGTCGTTTTTGATTGGTAGCAACCCTTATTGCTTTTTTGTAGGATGTTAGCAAAATAAACAGTTAACAAATGAGTTGCTACCAGTTAAAAACGTGTTTTCTTACCAACAACATGTGTGAGCCTTGAACTTCTCCCCTGGCTTGAGTAGTAGCAAGCCCACCCCCTAGGATTCATGTGGAAGTTCACCCAGGTTCGAGCCCCAGCGAAGGCAGCAGCATTGGCTCTTTGTGCGTTATTAGCTTGAGATTAGTATGAACAGATACTACCTTGTAATAGAGTCAATAGTTTTCAAAAAAAAATGTGTGAGCCTTGGCAAAATAGGTTTGGTGAGCAATTAAATCCGAATCTTGGTGTTGTCGATGTATTTTACGGAATTAAATTTGTTATTTTGGATTGAAATTTCAGCATTGGGTGTTGGAAAGGAGTTAGAGAATGAAAAAATTTAAATGTTAAATACATATGTAAGAAAATTGTAATCTTGAATAAATAAAAAACATCATTATATATGATTGATGTGTTATGTTATAAATTTGGATACATAATGTAGGAAAGAAACCAGCACTTCCACTGGACTACCTCGGCTCATTGTTTACCATAGGCTCCTTTTCTTTTATTTATATATAATCTCAATTTAAACCTAATACGACCTACATCGGGGTCTGTGGGGTCCCGGGACCCCATGAGACTCTTAATAGATCCGCCTCTGCCGGCGTCAGATCGCACCGTCACAAAAGCGTTCTTCACCGGAAACAGGCGCAGATCTTCCCCGGATATCACCGTTACCTCCAGAGTCCGCGGCGAGGCCGATAATGCATACATCGAAAAAATCGGATCGAATAAAACAAATTAATTAAGAGGATCGTTTCTAGGGTTTATGACGAGAGGGGCGTTAATGGCTTGTGACATTTATATCGGGAGAGGGGCGGAGAGGAAAGTGGCTAGAAAGAGATTATTGTGAACTTGCGGCCATATATCGAAACGCGCGAAATCAATTGCCTAGCATTTTCGTTTTTATTTTTATTTTTTTGGGCACGTCCACACTAACAACATGAAGTTCTTGAAGAGTTTGAAGGTACTAAGGCTCCGTTCCGTTCAACTTATTTTTCTGATCTGATCTGATTCTAATAAGTTCTGATCTGATCTGATTGGATCTGATCTGATCTGATCTGATTGGATCTGATCTGATCTGATTGGATCTGATTGGATCTGATCTGATCTGATCTGATCTGATTGAATCTGATCTGATCTGATTGGATCTGATTGGATCTGATCTGATACGATTAATTATGATTTAATTTAAAATTTCAAATCAATAATTTAATTTGACTTTATAATAACGTTTGAAAATTGTAATGATAATTCATATTATAATGTAATCAATATTTTTTTATTTAATGATTATTTTTTAATAAAATAAAAATAGTTAATTCATATATTAGAATAATCATTCATATTATAATGTAATAATATTTTTTATTTTATGATTACCCCCTCCGTCCCTAAATGGATTACAATTTTTTTTCTCTCCTCTCGATAACTTTTGTTTGTTTACACGATTTCATTAAGTATTTGATAAAATAAAATATTCTTGTCATCTCTTGTTTCGTAGAACTTTTGACGTAGTTTTTTAATCTATAATTTTTATACCTTATTGATATACCAATTTGTAAATAAAATGATTTCAAAAAATAGGAAATTTTACTCCGTAACCCGCAATTTGTAATCAAATTGGGGACGGAGGGAGTATTTTTTTGTAAAATTAGAATTATACATTAGAATAAATATTTAATTTAGATATACATTAAAAAGNTGATCTGATCTGATTAATTATGATTTAATTTAAAATTTCAAATCAATAATTTAATTTGACTTTATAATAACGTTTGAAAATTGTAATGATAATTCATATTATAATATAATCAATATTTTTTTATTTAATGATTATTTTTTAATAAAATAAAAATAGTTAATTCATATATTAGAATAATCATTCATATTATAATGTAATAATATTTTTTATTTTATGATTACTCCCTCCGTCCCTAAATGGATTACAATTTTTTTTCTCTCCTCTCGATAACTTTTGTTTGTTTACACGATTTCATTAAGTATTTGATAAAATAAAATATTCTTGTCATCTCTTGTTTCGTAGAACTTTTGACGTAGTTTTTTAATCTATAATTTTTATACCTTATTGATATACCAATTTGTAAATAAAATGATTTCAAAAAATAGGAAATTTTACTCCGTAACCCGCAATTTGTAATCAAATTGGGGACGGAGGGAGTATTTTTTTGTAAAATTAGAATTATACATTAGAATAAATATTTAATTTAGATATACATTAAAAAGTAATTGTATTTAGATAATCAATGTATAGAAGAGATAGTATTTTTATTAAAACATATCATCCTTATAAAAGATCAAAAGTTTAGAAACTCAAATTACAAGTAGCAATAAAAATATATTTTAAAAGTAGAATTAGATTGACATTGTCAATGTATTTTAAAACTAATTTTTCCAACGTCTAATAATTAAGGATTACTTTCTCGGTTTTTTTTATTTAACCTATTTCTAAAGTTTACTCTTTTTCATTTTTAAGAACAACAACAACAACAACAACAACAACAACAATAATAATAATAGTAATAATAATAATAATAATAATAATAATAAGTGTAATAATAATAATAATAATTCTTGATGGGATCTGATTTTAATAAGTCCTGATTGGATCTGATCTGATCTGATTGGATCTGATCTGATTGGATCTGATCTGATCTGATTGGATATGATCTGATCTGATCTGATTGGATCTGATCTGATCTGTTCTGATCTGATTTGATCTGATCTGATCTTGTCTGGTCTGGTCTGATCTGATCTGATTTTAATAAGAATAAGAAAAAATAAGAAAAAATAAGTTGAACGGAACGGGGCCTAAATATGGTTATTATTCCTTAATCCCTTTACTTCAAATTAAACAATTGATTTTTGAGATACACATTACTTTTAAATTTATTCAAATTTTGATGTATCATTAAAATTACTCTGTATAAAATATGGTCAGGGAATCGAGATAGTGCTGTCAAAGTCGGATCATAGATGGTAAAAGAACTAAATATTAGTAAAACATAGAAAAACGTACTAGAATTGAAATTTCGTATTTTTATTTTCAAAATAAGAGTAACAATATGAATAATATTAACATATAATACCAAAAATACTGTGAAATGCTAATACACACTGCAGTGCTGACACAATAAAACCTTGTCGTCCCTCCATCCAAAAACCACCTTCGCGGTTTGACCGGAGCCTATTTTTAAGAGAGAATGAAATATGTTTTGACTTTTCTAAAATGCCCCTACACATTTAAAGAAAAGTGGGAAGATGGTTTTAGGAGACCAATTTAGTTCTTTTCCACTGGATTGTTCAACCACTAATTAGGAGACTCTATGAGTCTATACTCTATGGTATGGGGTTCCTTTTTTAGAAAAGGGGCGGAATATAATTAATTATAAAAATTAAAATGTAAATAGTTTGAGAGGTATGAAATCTTAATTCTTTTCTATTTAAAAGAGATAAGATTTGGTGCTCGTTTCGGAATAGCTTGAGCGTTTAGTTTCTTTATCTCGGTAAAAATTAATTCATACTGTGAAAAAAGTTATAATGCTAATCCTAACTAAAAACGTTCTTAAAAAAATCCTTGTTTCGAATTGTGTCATTATTGTAAGTTCGTGGGGGCGCAGCGGAAATCGCTAATCAAGAGCTATGCAAACAAATCAACCAGCTGTGCTACAGAGAAGACGCTGCAGCACTGTCCAGTAACAGATGACGGACAGTGTGCTGTAATACTTCTCTGTCACAAGCACGCACACAGAAGCAGATGATGCAGAGGGTGTTACAGCGCCTACTGGGCAGAATGCTGTAACTGTAAAAAGCGTAAAAATAACACCAGATATGTTTACGCAGTTCGGAGAAACTCTCCTAATCTGCGGGGCCCACGTCCGTGTAATAGCCCTCCACTAAATCACTAGATGCAAGTTACACCGGTACATAACAACATGATGAGACACCCTTCTCCGAATTGCTATGACAAAACTTCTAATCTAGGATTTCTAACCCGAACTCTGTTCAGATCCGCTTCGGCTATCACATCTCCACCGAGATCACGAGGACAAACGTGTTGGCAGCCCACTCG